TTTGCGAGATTTGTATTCTAATGGCTTAAAACTAAAGAGATACCAGTGAGTGTGTGTCTGCATGCATGCATGCATATAGAGGGTCACGTCAACATCTCATTTATGTAATGGCTCCACATTTATCGCACCCTAACATGACTGACAGGTGGAAATGACATCACTAACATTTAAATCGTTGTCCTTCTCTCTGCAGAGTACTACATCCTAAGTGATGAATATTCCACTGCCGAGCTATTTCTACTCTCATCTACTTTATCTTTACTCCACCTTTCTCAAACACACTTGCACATACACATACGTGCACATGCTTTAATCCCCCACTCACTTTCTGTGTTTCGTTTTACTGTCCCCGCAACCTCACAGTGTCACTGCGCTATCCAATTGGCATAATTGAGCCGGGTCAGATGATAAAGAGACCTATAACAATCAATGCAGGTGAAATAAAAAACAGCTCCCAGTTATTACTTTTGTCCTTTTCCAACGTCAATCAATGCCCCTCCCCTACACACACACACACACACACACACACACATTTTAACAGACTGGGACAGCTACATTTATTCGAGGAAAAGGTCTGACATCTCAGAAGGAGTGCAGAGACCAGAAGAGGTGAAGGTATGAGGAGGAGGAGGAGGAGGAGGTGGTGGTGGTGGTGGTTCAGGAGTACCAGAGCTGAGATAGATGAGATGTGACAGGCTGCCACTCTTCTCAACACCTTCTCATCAGCATGACACAGCTGTCACAGCCCTATTTCAGGAAAATTAAACAGCCTTACGGTAAACTGGCCTGCCTGCGGGGGGGGGAGAGGTGCAGGAGCGAGGCGTCTGTGTGTGTTTGTGAAAATGAATAAGCTTGTAGTATGCAGATGGCCTTTCTGCTTCTCTCCTCCCCCAGTCTGTTCCCCCTCCTTCAAGCACCGTCGTCTCCTTTTGACATGGTAATGGCTCCAAATTGATGAAGACACTTCACTCATTCAGTGACAACTCTACTGGCAAGCGACATAAACACTTCCTCCCCGCCTCCTCATCCATCAATCCTCGTGAAGCCCCTCCCTTCTCCTTCCTTGGCATAGGCCGGGCGGGAAGTTGTTTAATCAGCTAATTTGCTCTTCTCTGGCCACCGTTAATGACCGTGCCACCTCTGGATTATCTTGTCGTCCCATCCTCTTAATCAGTGCTGATGAACTGCTCATCAAACTATTAGCCTCCTTTTGCCGTTTGCCATGCTTAGCAAAGGTTATAGGCCTGTAATTAAAACCAATCTGTTGGGTCATATTTCTCCCTTTAATCGGCGGGATAGTAGCCATTTCAGTAGCATTCCTACAGTGGCCATGGGGCCTCAGCTCACTGCAATTTCAGAAAACATAAGCAACTTTGACAACACATATGCAGCATTTAGGAAAAAAATGCAAATAAATAAAACATAAGCAGCATGACATCTGTGCCATGAATATAGAAGCATAATAGAGAAATGATGCACATTAACCACTCAGTTTGCTTCTGTTTTATTTATTTGCAGCAAGTTTTTCCCAAATGCACAATACAGTTCCTCATGAACACACTTCAGTACGCAATAAACTGTATGCGTAAACATACTTTGCCAGTAAAGTGGATTCTGATTTATTTGCTTGTGTTTTGTTGAACTGCTGGGCCACCATGTACTTCTGAAGGAAATGTAAACTTTACAACAAAAACGAGGGGATGATGTGAACAAAAGTCATCAGAAAATTTCACAATTAGTAGGGATGCACCGATCAATACTGTTGTTACGCAGAGTTGTCATCATGGTGCGACCAATCAATATAAATGTTTCTTTTTCATTTTTATAAAATTCAGTGTTTCCATTATCAGTTACTTTACTTTAGTTACAGTATATTAAGCTGTTGACTCCCTGCGATCCCTGGTCTTGTTACTTTACTTAAAACTGATACGAATGAGTTCCGAACAGTGAGATATAAAGATTTTAAATCAGACAAAAAGATTTGATATTGTCATATAAGTGTGTGCATTGGAATTGGTATCGGGAGAGAAAAAGTAGGACTGATGCTTCTCAAGATGTGAGCTACTATATCATAGCTGTCTTAGCTCACAGAGCCTGCGTGACGCCCACATGGAATTTATGAATTAATCTTGGTTACGTACCCGAGAACGTGATATGGCTCGCTCTGTGGTTTTAGCTTGAGTTATGAGGACCAAAATTAAGAACCACTACCTTAAAGAGCTGGCAAATTATCCAATTCTTAATAAACTTTGGCTGAAAGTACAACCTTTACTAAAAGATAACTGATACATGCGGTATCTCTGCAGCACTGTGAATAGCAGAAATGAAAGAATCTATCTCTGTGTGCTGGTTTACGTGATTCAGGTACAGCAGACCTGTTCACTTTTGAGCTGAAGATCTCCTAACTGCCTTTTTAAGCCACTATTTTGCTGCCTCAGCACAACCATGCAGCACTTTCACTTTAGGTGAACGAGTTGTGATGCCTTTAAAAGAATTCATAACATCCAACCTGTACTGACCTTATACGGCAAATAAAAACTATCGATCCTCCCTCCCCAACTCCCACTTTAAAAGACTTATTGTGGAGCTCCATTTCATCTAATCACTTGGCAAAAGAGTCCAGGGTCTAAATAAAGAAAGAATAAATAAAAAAGTCCCTGGGCCAACGTGTTGCTCTCACCTTTGCAGATGAAATTACCCGAAAAGCTGTTACAAATCAATATAATCAATGCAATCAGCTAACTGACACAGGCAATCTCCTGCCAGTAAGTAAAAATACCCCCGGCGGAGATCTTTCAATCTCTAGTGCCATAATTGCCCCCAAGGGCGACGTTAGGGTGTAGCATTTTGTACACTTAATTAAATTAGTGAGCTCTGTGGACAGGGTGGGTTGCCGATCTCACAGAGAACTGATTGGTCTGGCGGTGAGCCAGTAATTAAGGCAATACCTTTCCTGATTACGCCAATCCCCCTTAATGAACTCATTATGCATTTTAACCCAAACACTCCCATGAATTAATGAGCACAAAGAAAGCCCCTGGATTGAAAGGACGCCTCGATCGCGAACACAAGTCATAACTCATCCACTCAACGGGGTAGACGTAATGTCCATATTTCTCCCTCTTTCAGCTGGAGCCAAGACTAATTTGGACTTGAGTGACGGCAAAAGTTCTAGGTCTGTACACATAAAGCTTTAAAGAAATAGGATCCTCGTCTGGCAAGTAACAACACAAACTTTACTGGGCGACTTTACAAGGTCCCACTGAAATCATATCTGCATTCACTCTATTTACAAAACTTTAGTATGGTCATTTTGCACAGATAAGACGACATGCTCAAACCCACATCGCCTAAACATATGTGTAAAATGATTTAAAGAGACCTAGGAACATTGTAGGGTGGGAGCAGCTCAGCACTGACCCATAATGCTTTGCTAATTAAATAATTCACTAATTGATTCATTGCCAAATCAATAAAGCCTGCAGATGGTTTATGGTGTGAGAGCTAAAGTGTGTTTGTGTTTAAGGACTGGGGTTGGGTTACAAATGAAACACACACAGTATCCAAACCGCCAGTGCATTCCCCTAGCTGAATGATAAGCAAAAGCACATGAAATTGGTGCTAAAATGTAGGCGAACATTGAGTTGACCTTGAGCTTGTGTTGTATGACATCATTTCAACCCCTCGAAGGCAGCTGATGGTGAATATAAAAGGTGGGGGCTGGAGTGTGCGGCGTGCGTGGGCATCCTGAACCCAGCCCCAGGGGATACTTTGGTTTGTAGGTGGGCCTGAGGAAAGAAATCAGCTGGGATATCATTAATTCAAGTGTAATGAATCCTTAGAGTGTTTGTGTATAAAAGGACATATGCACAGTAAATATGTGGTATGTTATGCATACTTTATGACTGGTCATTCGTGTGTGTGTGTGTGTGTGTCTGGTAAGGTCGGAATTACCTTTGAAAGTAATTGGGACAGCAGTGAAGTGTGACATCTCACTGATCTGAGTGGACGTAAGGGTTGTAAATCCTGCTACATGAGCAGTTTGATATTTGTTTCCAAGCATGTGTGCATAAATAAACACACAAACACACAGAGAGAATGGCCAACAGCGCTCGGTACTGTCAGATCAAGGTTGTGCTTGTCTGCCATGGGAGCCAAACTTAATGAAATAGTACAGTAATTTCTCATTAGAATCAATGAACCTATACCAGCACTCTGTGCTTTGTTATGATTTGGCGCTATACAAATAAAATTGAATTGTAAAGGTTGGTGGAGGAGGAATAATGGCCAAGATTATGTGGACAACAAGAACATCGTACTGCGATACAAGTGCCTCCACTCTTCTGAGAGGTTTTTACAAAAGATTTGCTCCCATTCAGCCTCAGGAGC